CCTCCCTTGAGGACGTTTTGCTTTGCGAAAAATCCATTCCAAAGTTCTTAGTGTCCACCTGTCATCTGTAGTTCTCATTATATGACCAGCCAATCGATGTTTTGCCTTAGAGACGTATTCCGTTGGGTCGCGAAGACGAAATTTGACCTCATATCTGAACTGCGAAGTCTGACGAGATGTTGAGTGCGTCAATTGTTCTTTAGAAGACGTGGTTCCAGCGCTCTGTGGGTTGTTCGAAGAGCTTTGGACGTAGCCACAGTAGCCCGCGTCTCTGCTGCGTAGCAGAGCGCAGGGAGTTCAGTTGAATCAAACAGTTGGACTCGGAGCTCTGGGTCTGTCTGCTGGTCTGTGGCTTCTTTTAGGGGCCTGAAGGCAAGTCAACCTGCTCTTTGACTCCTGTTTATTCCTTCTCTCACATCGTTTTCCAAGCTCACCGAACGCCCGAGATATACGTAAAAAGACTTCCACTGGAAAAACTTCTAGTTCCACCTGTTCCTCCCAAAAAGCGTTCTTCATGAACTCAGTCTTCTTCCAGTTAATTCGCAGTACTAATCGCTTCCCTACTTCGTTTTTTCAACATCGTCTCCGCTTCAGTGATTTTCCTCGAGAAGGGAACAGTGTCCGCAAAACGAAGGTTTGAGAGGAAATTCTGCAAGGCGGCGGTAAACAGCTTTGGCGACGGTGTCGCCCTGTCGAACCCCCCTTGAAATTGGTATGTTAAGGGGATGACTTGAAAAGCTGTATCGCTGTAGAGCAATTTTTGTAGCATTCGGCCAAAGTCCTCACGTAAAATGAATCCACCCCTTGGTCAACGAGCACTGACAGTATGGCCTTAGTCTCGACGCTGTCAAATGTTTTCCATAGTCGATTAAGGTCAGAACGAGAGGTAGGCGCTGCTCTCGGCAAACCTCGGTAATCTTCGAAACCGTCTGGATGTGATCCACGCAGCTGAACCCCTTGCGAAGTCTAGCCTGTTCTACAGGTTGAGGTTCATCCAGTGTCCTTGATTTGTGAGCTGGAATAATCTTTGTAAAAGCTTGTAAAGCACGCTTAGCAGGCAATTAGATGGTAGTTCGTAAGATCCTCCCTATTGCCCTTCTTACGAAGAAGGGTTGTTTGGGAGGCTCTCCGCTGGTCGGAGATTCTTTCCTTTTGAAGGTAGGACGTTAGATGTTCCGTAAGTATTAGGCGATGTCCTATGGCTCTAAGAGGTCGGCCGAAACATGTTTCGGTCCCGCAGCCGTGGCTGCCTTCATGGTCTGGATTGCGGGACGTACTTCAGTCGTGGTGGTATTTCTCCAGTGGGAATAACGGGGTTTGACACGGGTGGTGGAGCAAAGAGATTGGTGTAGACTCTCTTTGTAATCGATTCCATCTTTGCCGGAAGAGGTGCGAGTCCCGACTTCGTTTAGTAATGTTGTCAGCGGAACACGATAGTCGAGAGGGTCCCTGGTTCTTTAGACTTTTCCTTCCTTGTGCTGCTTTTCAAAGTTTCGATTGCCTGTACTTTTGAAGATCTTCTTGCAAAGCTGTTCTGCAATTGATATTGCCTACCAGTCGCTCGAGATGTGGTGCAGTTATATCCAGCCTCAGTGCTCTTCTCCTCTCTAGCAGTTCCTTGGTGGCTTTCAAAATTCACCCCAAGTTCTTTGTGCGAGACAATGAAGAACTTTCACCACAGACTTTCAGTCTTCAAGAAGCAGGTAGAAGTCTTTTGTCAGATCCTCCTCGATGGGATGGTCACAAGTACTCAGGTGCCCCTCCAATCTGATGTCGTCATATACCACTTCTCTCCTTCCTCCAACACTGTGGCAGGTGTTCTTTTCCAGCTTTCGGCTGAATCGCACTTTTGCTTGAAGGAGGCGGTGATCTTTGCCACTACTGAAGGAACGTACCACTGTGACATCCAGTAAGCACCGCCTTCGGTTGGTGAGAATGTGGTCGATCTCCGCTTGAGTCGTACTGTTGGGTGACTCTCATGCTCACCTCCGGTTTCTTTCTTCATGAGGATGGGGTTGCGAAAAGTTGCGCGACGGATCATAGCCCAAGAAGACGGTTACCATACTCTTCTGAGTCCCGATCCAATCTCCCGATCTGTGCTCCCCTTCTTCCGGCATCTCGATTTTCGCATTGAAGTCACCCACGATGTATAGAAGGAGTTTTCTTTGCGGATGACTTCCTCCAAATCCTCACAACATGCATCAAGTTCCAAATCATCAGCTGCTGATGTTGGAGAATAGCATTTTATGACAATGATGGTTGATG